TTCATTGATGGTTGTCTCCTGGCTGTGTCCTCACACGGTAAAAGGGGTAAGGGAGCTTTTTAGGATCCCTTTTATAAGGGCACTAATCCAGTTCATGAAGGCTCCACCCTCAGGTTCTAATCACCTCCTGGAAGTCTCATCCTAATACCTCCCAATACCATCACATTGGGGCTTAGGTTTCAACACATGAATTTTGGAGGAACCCAAACATTCAGTCTATAGCACCGTCCTGTTTCTACTAGCAAATAGCCCAAGACTTGCTTGTGGCATGGCCATATCTTTTGTGAACCCTTTGCTTTTTCCCAAAGCGGGAGCAGAGATTGCTTTAACCCGGATGAGATTTAGGGTCTGTTGGAGATAAACACTTATCCATGCTTTGGATTCTATAATATTTTTCTCACCAAAAACATGAATTTACAACAAGGCACAGAGAGACAACCACTCAGCTTGGAGACCAAAATCATTGTCCTGATCTGCCACTTAATCTGCCGTGTGAGATCACTGGTGAGTCATCCACTTCTCCGGGCCTCTTTCCTCAGCTCTCCGGGCTAACAGTGTGAAGGGCATTGTGTGCTGTCACAGGTCCTGTGGTGCTCCACCCAGACCCCTTCACCAGGCGGGTACACCCATTTCCAGCTGCTGTGATTGTTGGATAGGGGTTTGCAGTTAGGGTTCCCTCAATCCCTACTTCAGGTTCTGCTTTTGGGGAGCCCAATCCCAGACACCTTCCTCATGGTGTTCCAAGAATCCAGTAAGATGCTGTATGTGGAGGCCCTCTGAAAACTGAAGTATCAGTGGGGTAGTAGTGTGGTCTTGGGCCAGGCTGTAAAAATACCAGCTGCGGCTTCTTGGCCGAAGGCCTGTGATGAAGGCAGATAAAGCGCCCAGGGAGGGCAGGGCTGTTGTCATGCACCCCAAGGATGTGAGCGCAGGCTTCTCTCCCTCCCCCACCTAGGAGCCCCGGAGAGTGGGCAGACAATAAAAATGGGTTTCCTTAAAGCGGAATAATGTTTGCGTCATGTTAAGTAGTGGTTGAACACGTTTTTCCCCATATCGGGAGGAAAAGAACTGGAGCTGCAAATCATTCAGACGTTGGAATAGAGCAAGGTCACCGAAATCCCTGCCTTTGCTTTGGATGCAGAGTGAACAAAAGTCCCATTGCACACTACAGCTTTCTAAGAGGTGCCAGTTTCAGCATATTTAAAAATCCCTAAATATTTATTTTAACAGGACATTTCAGGGGTGTGTGTGTGTGTGTGTGTGTGTGTGTGTGTGTGTGAGTGAAATGAGAGGAAAATTGAAAGGGAAAGAGGGAGCTGTGGCCCTGAGGTCTAGAACACGCAGTGTCCCCAGTTAATCATTGATGTCCCAGGCACCGATGGGCCACCAGAGCCGGCACGGCTGCAGGGGGTCAGCGTACCTGCTAATGGAATGCTAGGACGCCTCTGGTGCAGTTAATGATTTCTCTGTGCCCAGCTGCAGTGCTCTCCTTTCTCTGAAGCTCACAGAAGGCCGGTGATCCTCTTCTGGATTAGGCTGGCCCTGCCTATTGGGGTGGAGGAGAAGATAATGATGATTTGCAAATTCACTACATGACCAGACTCCCCAAGGGTTTCCTTCCATAGGGAAGGGTTTCTTTTCCTTCGTTGTTTCTGGAAAATATGCTTTAACAGGAGAGCTGTGCTGTAACAGAATAACTGTTGCCTAATATTCCTTTGTGTGAACCTTTGTGCCAAGAGAGTGCCACAGGATGACACCCTAGTATATGGGCACATGACATTTGTCATCTTCAAACGTGCATAAAGTTTATTTGAGCAGAGTTTTTATTCCCATTGCTAGATTTAAGTACTTTGAGGGCCTCCACACATTACGAATGTTTATGCTATACATTCATTATGTAGTCACACTAATATAAAAGGAACACATTTTCATTTAAATTGGTTTTTTGTTTTGTTTTGTTTGTTTTATTTTACCTGCCAGCGACCCTTTTAACAGCGAGCAACACGGGGAAAATTACTTTTCTATTTTACAAAATTCAGGTGTGTTTGCAGAAATATCAGAGAATAATAGTTAACTAAAAGAAAAAGAGGAGAGACCCAGAGACAACTATTGTTTCATATTATAATAGACTAGAGGCCCAGTGCACGAATTTGTGCATGGGTGGGGTCCCTCAGCCTGGCCAGCTGGCCCCCCCATCCCCCCATTAGGGCCAATCGGGGGGCTGGTCAGGAGAAGGGGTCAAGGTGGGTTGGCTGTGGGAGTGCGGGCAGCTCCTGTGTTGAGCATCTGCCCCCTGGTGGTCAGTGCTCATCATAGCAACTGGTTGACTAGTCGACCGGTCGTTCTAGTCGTTAGGTCCTAAAGGTCACTTGGGCTTTTACATATAGGGAGAATTGATGTGGTCCTGGCAGCCTGAGATGGGACACAGTACCTTGGTGAGGCTGCAGTGGCTTCCCACATCCCTGCCTGCCTCTGGGGGAAGGGATTTCAGAATAACCATTCCCTCACAGGAAGTCAGTCTCCGTCATGAGTATTACACAGATTTTTTTAAAAAAATTTTTTTATTGATTTCAGAAAGGAAAGGAGAGGGAGAAAGATATAAAAACATCAATGATGAGAGAGAGTTATTGATCGGCTGCTTCCTACATGCCCCACACTGGGGATCAAGCCCGCAACCCCGGGCATCCGCCTTGACCGGGAATCGAACCGTGACCTCTGGTTCATAGGTCGACGCTCTATCACTGAGCTATGCCAGCCAGGCTATAGTATAGATTTTGATAGGAAAGAGATGTTTGTTTGTTTCCAAAAATCACAAATAAGATGGGTAATAATGATTTGGAGAGTTGTTTTTTTGTTTTTCACTGAAGCCTGACTACCGATTAGTAAGGATGAGAGGCAGGCCTTGTGAGATTCATAAATGGCACAGAAGGGTGATCATTTACTTTGGGGACATTACCTGTGATTCCAGGCCTCCTTTCCTAAGAAGATATCTACATCCTGGTGACTGAGAAATGAGTATCAGGATGATTTGGGGGCTGGACACCTGGGAAGGGCAGCAAGCACAGCCCAAAGACGACTGCTGCTGCTTTTCACAGTCTTTCTTCCTCAACTGCTTTGGGAATTAACTATGTTAGGATGCCCAGCATGTATGCACACACCACCTCCCCCCTTTCTCCCACATGCTGACAGAGCACCCCCTCTGACCTTACTGGGGGGTGTGGGGAGGATTATTCTATAGGTCACCGAGGACTTTCATGGTGAATGCAATTTGGGGTCATCAGTGAATTCTGGTTTTGCTTCACCCGCATTCATTCTCTCTTTTCTTGGCGTGGATCCATAAGTAAAAGCCATTGCTACCATGTTTTGTAATTCAAACGTTGTCTTTCTCAAGAGGTTTCTGTGATGTCTTCTGTGCATTTCCAGTGCTAAAATCCCCCAGTTCTGGGTCCCAAGCTGTGTATCCATGGGCCAGTTTGAGCCTTGCTCCTCCAAAGATTAGTCCATTCTGAAGGGCCTGCTGAGTTTCAGGGGTTTGAGGGCCCTTGGGGAACTTTCTTTGAAACTCAAAGTGATTTCTTTCCTTGAAATTTACCTCTGTCTACATTTCCCTCTCTTTGGGGAAATATCCTCTGAACCAGCGGTCGCCAACCTTTTGGACCTCATGGCCCACCAGTGGTCTGCGAACCACCGATTGTCGACTGCTGCTCCAAAGGCTTCCTTAAACCAGCAGTCACCAACCTTTCAGACCTCACGGACTACCAGTGGTCCGCGGACCACCGGTTGGTGACCGCTGCTCTGAACAAGTCACTCTTGAGGCTCAGGTGCATCAAGTACTTAGAGAAGTGCTTACTTAACATACTTAGCCCTCAACAGAGGTTAGGTGTTTACTGTTATTAGAGAAAGACTGAGCAGTCTAGAGCAGCACTGCCCAATAGAAACCCCATGCAGTGCATTTACTAGTATGTCATAGTAACTTTTCTAGTAGCCACGTTAAGAAGTAAAGAGAAACAGGAGGAATTAAATACTTTTAAAGATTTTTTTCATTGATTTTTAGAGAGAGGAAGGGAGAGGGAGAGAGAGAGAGAGAAACATCGATGTGAGAGGGAAACATTGATCAGCTGCCTCCTCCATGCCCCCTACCAGGGATGGAACCTGCAACCTCGACATATGCCCTGACTGGGAATCAAACCTGCAACCTTTAGGTGCACGGGACTATGCCTAACCAAATGAGCCACACTGGCTAGGGCAGGTGAAATTAATTTTGACAATATATGTTATTTAATCCAACATGTCAAAAATATTATCTTTTCAACATGTAATCAGTATTTTTAAATTATTCAGATATTTTACATTATTTTTTCATACTAAATCTGCAAAACCCAGTGTTTAATTTATGCTCATGGTGCAACCCCATTAGGAAGGGCCACCTTTCAGGCGCTCCTTCACACAGGTGGCTAGTGGTGCCATTCTGGGGACCTTGCTCCTCAACGTGAGTTCTGGGGACCAGCAGCGTCGGCATCATCTGAGAGCTTGTCTGAACTGCAGAGTCTCGGGTCCCTCCCAAGAACTATCGAAGCAGAATCTGCATTTCCCCGAGTGATTTATTTACATCGTAGAGTAGGAAGCACCGATCTAGACTCCCCATGCTCACCCCCACCCCTTGGGATTCTGATTTAACTGGTCCAAGGTAGGGCATGGGCATTTGTATTTTTCAAAGCTCCCTCCGGTGATTCTCATATGCAACCAGGCTCTTGTGTAGTGGGCCCCGGAGCCAGGATACCTGCCTCTGCTACTTTCTACCTTCAAGACCCCGGGAAATCTACCCAAACTTCCCGGGCCTCAATTTCCTCGTCTCTAAAATGGAGGTGAAAATAGTATCTGCTTCAAGGGTTGCTATGAGGATAAATGAGTTAACACATGTAAAGGACTCAAAACAGTACCTGGCACATAGGAAGTACTCCTTAAATATAAGCTCTTACACTTTCTTCTTTTTCTTGAAGGTCCGGGGTTACCCAGAGCCCCAGGTGACGTGGCACAGAAATGGGCAAACCATCACCAGTGGGGGCCGCTTCCTGCTGGACTGTGGTATCCGCGGGAGTTTCAGCCTTGTGATTCATGCTGTCCAGGAGGAGGACAAGGGAAAGTATACCTGTGAAGCCACCAATGGTAGCGGTGCCCGCCAGGTGACAGTGGAGTTGACGGTAGAAGGTGAGTCCCAGGAGGTGAGAGCCCTGGTCGGAGCTGTCTGGCTTCCCAAGGCCCATAGTTCCTGCTCCAGCCCTCTCTTAGGAAAGGAACCCACAAGAGAAAGTGCATCCATCCCTGAACTCGGGACCTTTTATTTTATTTTGTTAATCCTCACAGGAGGATCTTTTTTCCACTGATTTTTTTTAGAGGGAAGGGAGGGATGTGGGAGGCAGAGAGAGAAAAAGAAAGAAACATCAATGTGAGAGAGACACATTGATTGGTTGACTCCTGCATGTGTCCCAAAGGGGGCCAGGAATGAACCTGCAACCCAGGTACATGCCCTTGACTAGGAATCAAACCCTCAACCCTTTGGTGCACAGGTTACATTCTAACCACTGAGCAACCCCGGCCAGGGCAGGACCTTTTGGTCTAATGGGGATAATGTGGTTCCTACAAACGAGGGAGGCATCCAGGAGACAGTGTTTGCCAAACTACACATCACCTCACTGTCCTGCTCCATCTTCCTATCGGTTTCTCCACACAGAGACAGAGCCCAGACTTCTTCCAGAGCCCTGCCCAGTCGGCTCTGCCTGGCTCTCCAGACCGTTCCCTGCCACTCCTCGCCTGCCCGTGCCACAGGGTCACGCTGGCCCTCTGCTCTTCCTGGGGCCAGGCCTCAGGCCTTCGCCCTGCAGTTCCCATCTAAAGGAAGCGCTCTTTCCGTAGCCCTTCACCTGACTCGGCCCCTCACCTCCTTCAGGTCTCTGCTCAGATGTCCCCTTCTTAGAAAACCCTTTCTGACCAGCCCACCCCAGGACTCTCCATTTCTCACTCCACCTGAATCTTCTCCTCTAGGACTCACATTGTATTATCCCCTCTGCCCAGTTCTGGGGGCCTGGGGAGGCTGGAGGAGGGGGGCTTGACCTTGTTTCCTGCATCTGGAAAACCTCCTGGCTCCTGAGAGATGCTGAAATATTTAGAGAATAAATGAACAGTATTTACTGATCACTATAAAGTAATACATGCCCATTATAAAAAATTTTGTAAAAACTCAAAAAAATATTTACAATAAGCACACCAGTATGCTAATAGTGATGAGTTACTTTGTCTTTTTCTTGTCTTAATACTTAAAATTCCATTCAACTTAAAACTTCCAGGAAGAAAACATTTGACCGTAAGTAAAGCTGTTTCTTTTGCTGAAGCGCTTCACTGGGGAGGACACGTCCAGTTCAGGTTGCGGGCTGATGCTCAAAGACCTGATGGACGGATATGGGGGTTGTCAGGCCCTCAGATGATGACCAGGTTCCCTGGACCCTCGCAGGCCTTTTTAAGGGCTTATATCCCAGAGGGTCAGAGTCACTTTCTCCTCTCTCAGAAGACATTCCTCCCAACCTGGGTTTCAGAAATACCAGACGTGATGATTCAGGTAACCAGGGAAGGTTCCAGAAGGGGGCAAGGGGCACCTGGGACAATGTTTTCCCTGCATCATAGGAGGACAGACTGTTTCACAGAACAGAACATGCATAGTTTGGATAGTTTCCCCAAATTCTTTAACTGAGCGACTTGTTCCTTTTAATGACCTTCAAGTGCCTGTGGGCGAGGGCATTCCAGATGGAAAGTGGCCCCGGTCAGAGTCTCTGAGTGGCCCTCATCTCAGCCAATCTGGTGCTGTTCTTTCCCCTACATGGTGCATTTTTCAATGCCCACACTTTGAGTGAAGGCGCACAAATAAAAATTACTTTATCCTCTTGTATCAATCAGCTTGGGCTGCTGGAACAGATTGTGTGGCTTAAATAATAGAAATTTATTTTTTCACAGATCTGGAGACTGGAAGTCCAAGATCAAGGTCCAATAGGGTTTGGTTTCCAGTGAAGACTCTTTCTGGTTTGCAGATAGCCACCTTTTTGCTGTGTCCTCACATGGCAGAGAGAGAGAGAGAGAGAGAGAGAGAGAGAGAGAGAGAGAGAGAGAGAGATCTCCAGTGTCCCTTCCTCTTCTTATAAGGGCACCACCCTATTGGATTAGGGCCCTGACCTTATGACCTCATTTAACCTCAATCACCTCCTCACAGGCCCTGTCTCCAAATGCAGTCATAGTGGGGGTAGTAGGGCTAGGGCTTCAACATTATGGATTTGGGTGGGGACACAAAAATTCAGCCTATAACACCCCATTTCTGACATTCAGTTTGGAGCAGGGGAAATAGGCAATTATGAGCCAGGGATCTAAGCTTCTGTTCCCACCTTTTACCAGTCAGATGTGTGACTTTAAACCTCTGGACCTCTGCTTCTGTAGAATAAAGTGTTTGAATTCAGTGGTCTCTAAAACTCAGGCTAGCCTTGGTTTTCTATGATCTAATTTAAGGAGTAGAGTAGGTTAGGATTGCAAGGGAGGTATATCAGACCTTTGTTTCAATTCCCATTGTTGAGGAAGTTAGATCTGATGTCACAACTAGGCAAGAAAAATTTCAGTCCTTCGTGATACTCAGGACAGGGGGCAGAAACAAGGCAGGAGAGGTGTGGCAGAAGGAGAGAAGGCTGAGGCTCCAACCCTGCCCCTCCCCTTTGATTGTAATCTGGGGAGACTCAGGCCCAGACCATTTCAGATGTTGTATGTCCTCTAGGAGATAGAATGGCCTAAAGGCTGCAGCCTCTTTAATTGTGAATGGCTCTCTACACATTCTGCTTCTGCATCAGAGGCCAGTTTCAGCCAGTGTGTGGGTTGGGACCACCCATAGACCACAGGCCTAGAAAGGCCCACTCGTTACTGTGCCACGCTAGCCCTAACTCTTACAGAGGGAAGCTAGCAGCCCACCTGCCTCCTTGCCAACTCTCTGCTGTGCTCTTACTTGGAAAGAGCAGAGGTCTTGGAGTTGAGTATAATTCATTTATGCAGCCTTTTGACCCCCTAGTGGTCAACTTTAGAAAGCTGTGTTATCAAATGGTCTTGGATTTGAGCTCCACAAATTTCTAACCTTTTGGAGCCTTATTTCCTTTTCTGTAAGCTGGAGCAAATGGCTACCCTACAGGGTTGTGTAAGGATCAGTGCAGCACTGGCAAATGGCAGCCTTGTAATATTTGAACCTGGTATTAGGATCTTGAGAGTTACTTCCGAGGGGGAATCCTTGCATGGAGAGTAGAGGAGGAAGCTTCTCATCTGATTTCCAATTTGGTAACCGGGGCCAAGAAACATGCAATATCCTCCACGAGGACAAGCACCTCAATGACAAGGCCATTCATGACCTTATGCAGTGGGCTGCACCCGAGTGTAAGCCCTGGAAGACTCTGAAGCCAGCCCCGACCCTCATCCACCTCCAGAGGACGGGTCCCAGAGGCTTGGTGCAGACCAGGGGAGAGACGTGGTACCTGCCCTTTGGGAGCTTTTTCCCTAGTGAAGGGGCCACAGAACTGTTCTCTAGCACAGCACTGGTCCATGGCAACATGATGTGAGCCACATATGTGATCTTAAATTTTCTAGTAGTCACATTTAAAAAACAACAACAAATGAAAGCAATTTTAATAAATTTAACCCAATATACCCAAGATACTATCATTTCAACATATAATCAATATAAAAATGATTAATGAGATACTATACATTCTTCAACAGTTGGGTATATTTTATACTTAGTGCCTATGTTTTATTTTAGGGTTTTTATGGTTTTGTGATTTACATTTAAGTCTTTAATCCATTTTGAGTTCATTTTTGTGTGTGGTATAAGTTGCTGGTCTAGTTTCCTTTTTTTGCATGTATCTGTCCAATTTTCCTAACACTATTTATTGAAGAGACTGTCTTTATCCCATTGTATGTTCTTGCCTCTTTTGTCAAATATTAGTTAACCGTAAAGGCGTGGATTTATTTCTGGGCTCTCTATTCTGTTCCATTGATCTATATGCATTTTTCTTGTGCCAATGCCATGCTGTTTTGGTTACTATGGCCTTATAGTGTAGTTTGATATCAGGTAGTGATGCCTCCAACTTTGTTCTTCTTTCTCAAGATTGCTGAGGCTATTCAGGGTCTTTTGTGGTTCCATATACATTTTTGTAATATTTGTTCTAGATCTGTGAGATATACCATTGGTATTTTAATAAGAATTGCATTGAATCTGTAGATTACTTTGGGTAGCATGGACATTTTAATTATGTTAATTTTTCCTATCCATGAACATGGTATGTACTTCCACTTATTGGTATCTTTCTCAATTTCTTTTTTTCAGTATCTTATAATTTTTCGAGTACAGGTCTTTTAGCTCCTAAGTTAAATTTATTCCTAGTACCTTATTTTTTTGTTGTTGCAATAGTAAATGGATTGTTTTTTATTTAATTTCTTGTTCTGGTAACTTATTATTGGTGTACAAAAGTGCCACCAAATTCTGAATATTAATTTTTTTATCCTGCTATTTTGCCAAATTCATTTATTAGGTCTAGTCATTTTTTTGTGGAGTCTTTAGAGTTTTCTATATATAATATCATGTCATCTGCGGATAATGACAGTTTTACTTCCTTCTTACCAACTTGGATGCCTGTTATTTCTTCTTGTTGTCTGATTACTGTGGCTAATACTTCTAGTACTATGTTGACTAAGAGTAGAAAAGAAGACATCCCTATCCCTGTCTTGTTCCTGATCTTAAGGGAAACATTTTTAGTTTTTGCCCATTGAGTATGATGTTGACTATAGCATTGTCATATATGGCCTTTATTATGTTAGGTATGTTCCCTCTATTCTTACTTTGCTGAGAGTTTTTATCATAAGTGGGTGCTGGATTTTATCTAATGATTTTTGTGACTCTGTGAATATGATCATGTGGTTTTTATCCTTCATTTTGTTTAAGTGATGTATCACGTTTATTGGTTTGCTAATATTGTGTCAACCTTGCATCCCTGGAATAAATCCCACTTGGTCATGGTGTATTATCTTTTTAATGTATTGCTGGATCTGATTTGCTAATATTTTGTTGAAGATTTTAGTATCTATATCATTCAGGGATATTGGCCTATAATTTTATTTCTTTGTCATGTCTTTAT